ATTTTTTTTTGTAATTTGCGATGCATTACTAATTTTGAATTTAATTATATTTTATTTTATTCACGAGCTATTTTAAATGTATTTCCAAAAATCGTTCATTCTTTGATTACAGAGTACAATAAAATCGGCGTTAACAGAGCTATTGCTATTGATTATAGTTGCCAAAATTATGCACATATATATGTGTTTATACTAATAAATAATTTGCAATCGAAAATATAAACTAATTGCACAAGCAAGGGCATAAACTCAATTATGGTGTAACTCTTAAATACTAGCACTTTGAAGGAAGAACTCAAGAAAGGTTGTTATAAGCTAGAACTCATTTGCATGAATTAAGTAATAGAATACGTACATGTAACGGAAAGCCTTAATGAATAACTTGAAACTTTAGTATGTATATAATTTGTAAATTATCTTGAAAATAAATGATGTCAGTAATTTATTCAAGCATAAAGAATATACATCTAATAGCACTTTAGCATAACACATGTGCACACGTAGTTGTTTTCATTGCTTGAGTTATTGTCAGAACTTTGCTTGGCATTTCATGCATATTATTAATATGCCCATATTTTCAGTTGGCTTCTACTTAATGTTCTAGCTTTTCATTTAGCTTTAATCAACCCTCAAATGTGTGCGTAAATATGAGACAAGAGATGCTTACAGTTTGCAGTTTTGTGGTAACAAATTCCTTGATTAATGAGATTAATAAAGGGGAAAATCTCCTCCGATTGATGTTTCAGTTTCAGTTATGCCTATGGATGTGCATGTGTGCGTATGATTTAATGTGTTTTTAATGCCGTTTGACAGTTTATATGGCTCAGTTAATTTGCTAAGCGTTTTGTAGTTTGTTTTTGAAAAGGCCTAATGAAGTGATTTGGACAGGCATAGGAAATATTATAAAATCATATTTGAGCGAGCAAGCGTTATGAAAATTAATTCGAGTAGATGATAATCAACTCAATATTTAAAGTGATTCTTATGCATTTAAATTTGATATCCTTCTAATGCGATCAGGTTAAAATAATATTAAACAATAAAAGCTCTAAGCTCGCTTATTTCCAAGGAAATTTCGTTTTACAAATTCAGTCAACATAAAACAAAATGATGCGCGAAGCATATAAATACATCGAACATGCCTGCTACGGTTCGATATTCCAACATTGCTTTTCTCTTTTTCTTTAAAAAAGGAAAATATACAAGTACAGCACACGACATTTATTATTCAATTATAATTCATTTGTTTGATTTAAGCAAGGAAATATACATTATTTTCACGACATTTATTATTCAATTACATTACATTTAAAAACTACCCTGAACATTCACTGTTTGTTGTCAAACATAGGCTACAAGGCCATGCGACTCCCAGACGTCAAGGTAGTTTGTTGTAATTCATTTCAGCAGCATAACAATTTGGTCATGCTATAATTAATTAATTTAAAAAATATCTCGCCCAAGTCGCCTAGACTGCTTAATAAACGAAGTGTTTATTATTATTATTATTTTTTTTTTATACCCTGTACCCGTAGGGTAAAAAGGGTATATTAGGTTAGTGCAAAGTATGTAACATACAGAAGGAAGCATCTCCGACCCCATAAAGTATATATATTCTTGATCAGCATGACGAGAGAAATCGATCTAGACATGTCCGTCCGTCTGTCCGTCTGTCCGTCCGTCTGTCCGTCCGTCTGTCCGTCTGGATGAACGCGAGGATCTCAGAAACTATAAAAGCTAGAATAACCAAAGTTGGCATCCAGATTCTCCTAGGTCCGAGTAAGGACGAGTTTATTTTATTTTTTGGAATTTTCCCCCCTTTCCCCCGCTACAGAATTTCGTCAATAGCGTCCACATTTCAAATGCTACATTAACCAAACTTTGCACACATAATTTATATATAATTGTCTACTGTTGTATAAAATTTTATTCAATTCGGTCAATTCTAAGAAAAGTTATTAGCGAAACAAATTCTCGCCAGTACAACCCCCTCAAACTGCAGCAACAAGTTCGCTCTTCTTCTTCCTCTTTTTGATGCTGCTATGGGCGCATATAACTCAGTGACGGAAGTTTACCTGGGTACAGGGTATTACACTGTCGGGCTTGCTCGACTGTAGCGTTCTCTCTTGTTTTGATTAATGCAGTTATTTTATTTTATTTGCTGAACTACATACAAGTAGATCATAATTATATTTTTAAAATTGAATAGTCATAGTAAATATAATCATTAGAATCATGTTGTAAATATAATTGGTGTACAGTAGTGGGTGAAAGTCGATGCTTATTAAATGAAATATTGCTTTAATTTTTGTGCGTGTTGGGAACTGGCTATACATTTCTTCATTATTACTGCGGAAAATAGTGTTTGATTGCAATATACAATATCGCATCAATATACAATATACAATATCAGCATTAATGCTGAAAAATTTAAACTGAAGCAGAGGCATTTTGTTTTCTTTAATGATAATTTTTCGTATTTGGGCGTTTATTTCGAGAGGCACCTCACATTCCGTATGCACATATCGTCTGTCATAGAGACACTATGTGAGATAGAGACACTAAAATGAGACGCAATGAGACCAGCAAAAAACTGACTATCAGGAACAAATTCATCTTATGTCCTGCATCGCCTCTTCTTGACGATATGGCTTTCAGGTATACGGCATCGCTGCACAATCCCATCTTGAGAAAATCCGAATGCTACAAGCCAAAACGCTTCCCTGCTAACTGTTGCCCCTGGTATATGAAAACCGCAAACATATAAAAGGACCTAAGAATGCAAAAAGTTGGTGACGTCACAGGCTGCTCAACAGATGGGGCATCTAGATTGTTATAAATTATCAAAAAAAAATTTTAAATAAGCTTACTTCTAGTTTAAGCTGTAATTGTATTGTTCTTTAAGTTCAATTTAAGTTATTATGAATAGTAACAGTATAATTAAAGTATAATTTAAAAAAAATATTTCAAAATCATTCGGAAAACTGTTAGTACTTTCTATATACTCGTATATATTCTCTGTACGAGTAGCTTTAAATAATGCTTCCTCCCACAAGTCAGTCAGCCATTGTTCGCATTGGACGCAAAAGCGCGTGTAATTGCAATATCGTGACTTGGCGCATTTATTGTATACATATGTACGCACTAGCATGTATGTATGTATGTATATGCTATCTATATGTATGTGGCACATTCAATTATATTAAATGTTATGCAATAATAGCTGAAACAGTTACAATAACAATGCGTTAACTAGACCATTATACTTTGAACGTAATTTATGAGGGCACTTGCAGCATTTTGCTTTGAAATATTTTCCCTCTTAGGACTTCCACGCTTTTATTTTCATTTTCATTTTTGTTTTTTCTGTATTTTGTTTTTTATTATTATTATTTATTTCTGTATTTATTGTTGCTGTTGCCATTTTGAACTTTGCGTGTCAGCAATAACACGAAATTATCTCTTAGCTTTGAGTAACAATATTTCTAAATTTGCCAAACGCTGAATTGCCGGCTGCCAGGAGAGATACATATACAGATACAGATGGAGATACAGAGACAAACACAATTGTTATTCAACTTAGCATGTGGGATGTGCGTGTGCGGCTGTTTTATCTGTCTGCAAATATATGTACATATGTATGTATTGTATATGTGCACAACAATAGTAACGTAGTGTCTGTATGCCGCGGAAACGCGTATGTATGTATTTAAATAACGATACTCTTGTGTACGACCTCGACACTCTTATCGCGCAGCCAAAAATCTCGGAAATACAATGTAACAGTTTGTCAAAAAGTTGGCATTGAAAGTGAAAAATGTTCGAAGAACACGCACACACTCCCACACACACAATGGTACTCAATAAATTATATGAATTTTAATGATTTTCAGCGAGAGAAAGCAGTGAATTTTATTTATTGTGCACTTGATTCGATACGATAGCACAACAGCCCTAGTTTTCAAGGCCCGACTGCAGGAAATTTTCAATAGCATACAAATGTGTAAAAGTAAAATTATTTAAATTATTAACGGGGCCATAACGGGGCCCACTTGTTTCGCTTGCAACTTTTGTCAATCGCTTTCGGTGCCCATATCGTACGAAGCATGAAGAAACTCTCGCAGCTCAGCTTCTTCATTCTGGGCTTTATTATGGTAGCTGAAGGATTTTTAAAAAGTAAGTTTTTTACATCTTAATATTTGGTATTGTGTCCTTGAAGATGTTCTTCCCTTAAGAAGGAAAAGGTTACGTGTACCAAGTAGTAAATGGTTGGTCGACTTCTGGGTTCGGATAGATTCTATGTGTTTAAGATTTGTAGTTTGCTTAGATTGTAGATATTGGTATTTACACGACAATAGAAGAAACTAACTAACTTACATAGGGCAACATAAATTAAAGGAATTTTATATAAATATTTAGTCTTTCTACAAAGTTAAGCAAGTTGGGGCCTGGAGTAGAAAAGTTTCCTAGCTTACCCACGATGTTGTTTTATACTACAATCAATTTTATTAAAATTCTTAAGGTTTCTTGAACTTTTGTTTCTTTACAAGTAAAGTTTTTACTTCTACCAAAACGGCTTCTTATAATTATTTCATTTACATATTTACAGCTTTGTGCTTCAATGATAAAAAAGGCAGTTTTTGCATGCGAAATGATACCTTTAAGTATAGATTAAGGACCAAAACATGTGAGCAGGTGAAGGCAAAAGCAGAGCCCTGCGGGTTCTTTGATAGAGCTGACAAATGCGAAACATTTTGCAAAAGTGTACTAAGCTGAAAACTGTAAAGGAGAAAACTCATGACGAAATATGTTCTGTGAAATCAGTAACTAATAAAAATTTTACTTAAGTGGAAAATTTCAGTCGCTATCCGCTATATTCGAAATAAATCTATTACAAGTGTTTCAAACCAATTGGTCACCCTTTAACTTTAGTCTATAGAGAACTTCATGCGGTACTACAATTTATTTCATTAATAGTATTGCAAGATGAAGTGGATGGTGGTGCTCTTTTGTGTTGTGCTGGTTGTGGATTGGGTTTTCTGCCGCAAGTCCTATAGTGCTGCTCTCAGGAATGGTAACAGTCTTAAAAATACAAGGCAAGAGCATGCTTGTAATAATATTCCATATTGTTTGTAGAAATCTGCACTAACCTGCCACGTGAAGGCGTATGTCGTAAAAGTAATACGTATGCTTTCCATATAAATACTCGAAGATGCGTACACATAGAGCCGAATCTTGGGCCGTGCGGTTTCTTTCGCAACCAGACTAGTTGCGAGTTGTTTTGTCAAAAGGCACATCTTAATAACGGCCCTTTGCATAATCACCAACCACGTACTGGTGGCCAGAGATTAAAATTAAATTAACGCATGGATACATTAATGGGTAGGAGAGAATCTTAAACAGATGAGATCTAGTATATATAGTAAAAGGCACTCTCATCGCCTGAAACAAAATTGTTCAATGGCAAAGATCTTGCAGCGATATATAAAATTTCAAATAAAATAAATATACTTATTTATAGATTATGTGTTTGTGTAAAATGATTATTTAACAAGAGCTCTTTATAATACGCAATGTCAGTGTAGAAATAGAAAAACACTTTTTTCAAGTGTTTGTCATTTCACATTTTGTGGACTTGATTTGTGGATACGATTGAAAATTGTTTGCGTCCAAAAAAGTATTTATTTAAGGCAAAATAACTATTAATTTGATGCCACATAAATATTAATAATAAATAAAAAACAAAGCAAATAAGTAACATTCGGAAAGAAACGGACGATTTCGATATGGCTTGCAATACGACATGTGAGCCATCTTCCATTTTAATGGCAAGGGAATTTTAATTTTTATGTAACCATAACAGTCAAGCTAATAATAAAAATGGAAGTGAAGTACGACTCTTAATGCATGTTGCAATTGAAATATATTTTGCTTTCAGATATTTGAAGGAATTTTACGGGCAAAGTCATGTTTCTTTTTTTTCTTGTATGTGCGGCTTTTATTCCAATCTGGTGTGATGTGACTACGATCACCGGTATTTAATTAATTTCGGTTTATTTAATATTTGTGCAATAACATTTTTATTACAGCGAAAATGTGTACGCCGAAGACAAATGGCATATGTCGCAAGGAAAATACATATGAATACCGGAAAAATAAGTGTGTGCGGGTAGAAATGAATACGGGACCTTGTGGCTTCTTCTTGTTCGAAGAGGCATGCAATTCTACGTGCCATAACTTTATATACCTTATTGAGGGCAAGCCTATTGTAATGTCTACAGTAAAGCCTATAAGAAAGCCTACAGTAAAACCTAGCAACATGGTTGTGTAGATAGAATCAATATTGGAGTAAAATTGTTTAGCTAATATCTTTTATGATTTAGTTTAAATTTCAAATAAAAGTTGATAATTATATTTCATTTTCAGCTGCTCTTCGCTCATATTTTTTTATTTTATGGGTTTTTGTATACCAAAAGATGTTTTTTTATTTATTTCCGAATGAAATAATGATAAACAGTAAAACGTGCCTGTCAACCAAATGAAAATGAGTAGAAAAAAGCCAGAATACGATGGTTGATTCCTTTCAACAATCGCCACGAAACTTCAAAGGTTTACCCACGGGACTATTTTGAATATTGCCACAAAATTTGATCAACATCGGTTGAGCGGTTTCTATATGAGTTTATACGGAACATGCATACTTACATATAATACTTCCATTTTTTCATATATACTATACTAAATACTATATATACTACAAGTATATATAGATTAAGTAGGAGTTAGTGTACACATATAAGGTATATAAGGTATAACATTTGGTGTCTAGTCTTTATAGCCGCTGAGATCTTGCTGTTCATACAGACAGACGGACGGACGTACAAACACACAGACATGGCTTAATCTAGTCAGCTGCCAACGCTTTTACCTTTTGCGTTTTGCACAAACCTAATATACACTCTTTGTGCACAGAGTATAAGACATCGGAATAAGGTAAAAACTTTGTGCCAAAAGATTGCAACTACGAGACTATTTAATTAAATTAAATTAAAATTTGGTAGTCACATCCAGTTAATGAATATGTGTCGTATATTAAGTTTCATTATGATAGATCAATTCGAAAGAAAGTTATAGCCATAAATATAATCTCTGTCCAAGCTCTGCCCGCAGCTGTTGTTGTTGTTGACTTAATTCTGTACTTCACACATAAGTTTCCACTTATGTATGTATGTATTGAATAATTGTTATTAATTAATTAATTAATTAAAAATTCAACATTTTTATTTATATTTATCTTATTTTTGAAGGGTGGGTGCACAGGGTATTTAAGAGTTGAGCCCGCTCGACTCTAGCATTCCTTTTTTGTTAATTATACTCTGTACATGAAATGTACATTTAACAAGAAGTTATAGCCATAAATATATTTGCTGCCCACGTGCTGCCCGCAGCTGGTGCTTTGGTTGACTGCAAACATGTTTACACAGACACGAATACAAGGTGCTTTCCAAAGTAAACGGGACTTTTTGAATCTAGCGGCCGCTGGTGCCGCTCTCTATATGTCGACTGGTGCGTTAGAGTCTGCTATCTTTATCGATTGTTCAGTGAGAATTTCATGACATTTCATCGATTGGAAGTGAAGTTATTGCGTTTTAAGTGTCAGTATGTTTGTGTTATCGGTGCGAAAAGGAGCTTCGAACAAAGAGCCAACATTAAATTTTGTTTTAAAATTGGTAAAACTTTTACCAAAACGTTTCAATTGATGGAACAAGTTTATGGCGATGATTGCCTATCCCGTAGCAGAGTGCACGAGTGGTTTCAAAGTGGTCGTGAGGACATAAATGACGATCAACATGTGGGCCAATCAAAATTCGTGATCACCGAAAATTCTATCCAAACTGTGCGTGAATTCATCAAAAATCAGCCGAAATCATCATTGAAATTGATGGAATTGGAATTGAACATCTCCAAAACATCGATTTATCACATTTTGGCCGAACATTTGGGCTTACGAAAGGTGTGTGCACGGTTTGTTCCGCAAAAATTTACTAACGATCAAAAATTGCTCAGAATACGTCATCACATTTTAACCATTACCCACTCACCGTACAACCCCCCCCAAATAGCGTCCACATTTCAAATGCTACCTAAACCAAACTTTGCACACATAATTTATATATATTTGTCTATTGTTGTTCAATTTTATTCAATTCGGTCAATTTTAAGAAAAGTTATTAGCAAAACAAATTCTCGCCAGTACAACCCCCCCAAACTGCAGCAACAAGTTCGCTCTTCTTCTTCCTCTTTTTGCTGCTGCTATGGGCGCATATAACTCAGTGACGCAAGTTTACCTGGGTACAGGGTATTACACTGTCGAGCTTGCTCGACTGTAGCGTTCTCTCTTGTTTTTATACTCTGTACATGAAATGTACAAGAGTATATTAGGTTTGCGCGAGCTGAAAAATGTAACAGGCAGAAGGAGGCGTGGCAGACTCCACAAAGTATATACTTGTATATTATTGATCAGGATGACGAGACGAGTCGATATAGCCATGTCCGTCTGTCTGTCTGTCCGTCTGTCCGTCTGACCGTCTGTCCGTCTGTCTGTATGAGTGCAAGGATCTCAGTAAGTACAAGAGCTAGGATAACCAAAATTGGTATCAAGGTTCCTATAAGCCCTAGGCAGAACGAGTTTGTTTATTTTTTCTGATACACCCCCCCACTCCCCCACAATTCGTGTTTTTTCTTATAACTTCCGTAATTCTCGGAATTTTGAAATCAATTTTGGTAGGTACATCCAGTTAGTACTAATGTGTCCGTGTGCCAAATTTCATCATGATAGGTCAATTCTGAAGAAAGTTATAGCCATAAGTAAAATCGCTGCTCATGCGCTGCCTCTGTCGGCAGCGCTGCCCGCAGCTGTTGTTGTTGTTGCTGCTTTTGTTCAACTTTGTGCTGCATACATACACGCATATAAACACGCATAGTTACGTGATGTAAATGTATGCTGTTTAAACTGAACATAAACATGTATTCTAATTTAATTTAATTAATTATTTTAATTAATTAATTCATTCATTTTTTTTAATAATTAAATTTAAAAAAAATTTTTTTTTTTTAATTTTTCCTTTTTGTGGAGAGTACTGTCGGGCTTGCTCGACAGTAGCGTTCTATCTTGTTATTTCTATATTTATTACATATAAACATATGTACAGAGTATTTCAAAATCGGGACACCCGAACTTTTGAATCGCAATGAATTTACATATTTTGAAATTAATAATTTTTAAATATTTGTATAACGCATGTTAGATTCAATTGAGGCATAACAATGCGTTTTAGTCCAAGACTAAACAATTAGAAGCATGACAACATGGCAAGATTTATAACACAACTTACTCGTTTGGCTTAAGTACAGAAATGTATTGGATATATCGCCTGTTCCTTCTACTGTTGTCTGCTGTGTGCATGCAATGCGTAGACAAAAACTTGGCAGTGTCCAAAGGTAAGTATCTTAATATCATTTATTTGATATTCCATTGATAGCTGAATGTTCCTTCCGGAGGCGCTTGTCGACCCAGAAACGCACCATATTTATGTAATGTTGCCGGCACTTGGACTTATATTAAACAGCTGGGAAAGTGCATTCCAGTACAAATAAAACAGGCACCATGCGGATTTTTTAATAGTGAACAATTTTGTCTGAGATCTTGTAAAAATGCCAAAGGAGTTACACCGCAGAAGATAAAGGTATGTATAAACAAACAAACAAAAAAAACATTTTAACAGTTTGATAAATCAACTTTTTATTTTTATAAAATTCTCACCTTCCATGGTTGCTAAGTATTTGGACCTCAATTATGTTACAATTCCTGTAGCATTACTTACACCAACTTTGTCAAAACGAAATTTGAATTAAATATCTTAATTGCCAAACATGTAATAAGTAGAATCTCTTCTACTTATAGGCTCAGCTAAGAAAATAACATATTATTTTATGTTAATTGGACGTGTAATAAGTAGAATCTTTTCTACTTATAGGCTTAGCTTAGAAAATAACATATTATTTGATGTTTGAAATGCATAGGAGGAGCGTTTTTAAAGGGAAACCTCTTAAAGATTGCAGCTTGGTGGATGACTTTATAATCCTTGGCGGATGAGGGATGAACATCTGTAATGTCGATTAGTAGAAAGTTCTCATCGAACGGAGAACATTACGCATTGTTATATTAGAAAATAATTATAGCTACATTTTGAAAAATAAATAAATGAGCTATTATGTGTATATATGTATATAGTATAGTATGTACTGATTAAATGATTGGTAATCAACAAACAGTCCTAAAGGAAAAATGTTCGAAACTGAAATTATACAACTTTCCTTTCATAGTGTAAGCATTAGCAGCTCTAAAAATAATTTTGAATAATTGGAACAGCAAAAGGGGAAAAAGGGCTGTTAAAAACATTCACAAAAAAAATATCATGAATATGATAAACATAATTTATTTCGTTAATGTGTGTGATCGGGAGGTCAATATAGACCTGTTACTCTGTCTGTCCGAACCATATCAGCTAGGTAAATAACGCCTGACATGTAAACTTATCTTATCCATACACAGTGCTAGTTTTGTGGATGTTTGTTGCTGAATTAATTGTAGTATATGTAAAATTTTTGATTTGTTAAAAATACCAGTGGGCCAAATTGGATGGATCACTTCTTTAAAACATGGTTAATTCAATGTCAGATCGCATATTAAGAGTAATTAATAGTAATGGAGGACATATATAGAAAATTAATGCTAAAAACACAAGTATGAAACAAAGAATCAATTTTACCAGGTCAATTATTTCGTTGAAAAAAACGTTCATTAACTTTAAAAAAATTAATTTTTTGTCATTCTAAAAAGTGTTAAGACAATTTATTATCATTTAAAAATATCGAAGATTTTCGTTTAAATAACGAAAAAAATGTTGATATTTCGTAGACCTTATACAATATAGTTACTTTGGTAAAACAAAGTTGAAGTTGAACTTCTTCCATTGATTTTGGTGACTTTCCCATTACTTTTCATAGTGGCTTTTTGTTAGTGCATGCTTTCTCACGACCTCCTGAACTATACATACTATACTACAAGTATAACCACGTTGTTTTGTTTACTCCATTTGGTACTCTCACATCATTTATGAGTTGGCCTTTTTTCACCAGTGCATTTGTTTTATTTGCATTGGGTTTTGCGCAAGCCTTGCGTCCTTTTATACCCTGTAACCAAAGGGTGAAAGGGTATACTAGTTTTGCGGGAATGTATGTAACACACAGACCCCACAGAGTAAATAAATTCTTGAACAGAGTGACAGGACGAGCCGATATAGCTATGATCGCCTGTATGAACGCAAGGATCTCATAAAGTATAACAGCTAGTATAACCAAACTTGGCATCCAGAATCTCCTAAGTCCGAGAAAGGACGAGTTAGTGATTTTCCATGACTCCCGTTGTTCTTTAAATTTGGAACTCAAATTTGGTAGTTACATCCCGTTAGTGATTATGTGTCCGTATGCCATTCATTATGATAGGCCAATTATGAAGAAAGTTATAGCCCTAACCAAAGGTCTTCCCGCAGCTATTGTTGATGCTTCGACTTATTCCTGTACTGTATACATACGCGCATATAAACACGCATAGGCACGACGATGTAAATGTATGCTGTTGAAACTGTACATAAACATGTGTTCACTTTTATATGTATGTATGTATTGAATATTTTATATTCAAATTAATTAATTAATATATTTTTTTTAAATATATGCATATATATTAATTAATTTTCCTTTTTTGTGGAGAGAACAGGGTATTTTATTTTTGGACTTACTCGACTGTAGCGTTCCCTCTTGTTTTTTTTTCTTTTTTTCTTTTTTCTGGGAGGTACAGAGTATTTAAGAGTTGAGCTCGCTCGACTTTAGCATTCCTTTCTTGTTTTTTATTACATTTTATTTACTTAGCCTTTATTTGTCTTTTGCCGACGTCGACTACCCCATCGTACTAAGTGTCTAATTTTTGTACTTTTTCTGGACGAAAGAGTGTGATAATATTTGATGTTGTTGGTCTTGTTATTGTACGAGTAGTTGCTTTTTTTTTTTGTTTTGGCTGCTCCTGCTTTTGTTCTCGACTTTCGCCTAGCGCAGCACAAATTTCTCCAACATTTCTGTCTACTTTCTGTATGCTTTGTGCTCGCCTATTTGCTTTGGCATTTTGTTTGTTAGTTTTGTATGAAAACTTTTGCAGTCTCCATCACATTTTCCCCCAAGCCGACTCGGCCACATATGCCACTATGGTACTGCAGTCTTTGGTTAGCTTTTTTTTTTTGTTAATTCTCTTTGTGTAAGTTCGTCAAGCTTGTAAACACAAATTATGACAATTAAGTTGAATGTTGGTTTGTTTGAGTTGTTAGCTGTCCTCGACATTAAAGAAGTCTGCAATTTTCGTATGGGTTGAACTTGTATTCGTTTAAATTCCTTTAATAGCGTTTTGATGCAATACACATACGCACTGTTGGGCAGCTGAATTTAAATGTGATTTCGAAGGAGCATCAGTTTCCTTTTCAGAAACAGGGATAGCCTTATTGCTAATGCTCATACATTTATACTACGACTATATGTCAAAAGTTTAAGCTGCCAATTGCAGCTGCCAGTTGGTAAAAGTTGAGAAAGCAGCTTCTATTTTAAGTGTTAAAGGTGCAGCAACCACAATTGTTCATTAGATTAGCAAGTTCACAAAGTTTGAAAAAGCTTAAATGCCACTTTCACTCCTGCTGCTGCCAACACTTGACTTTGAATGCTACGAGTAGTATTTTATGAATTCTCTTATCAATGCAAACGGCAAAGGCGTAAAGAAATAAAAAAACAGAAAAGATGTAGGAGTACGTGCAGAAAGTGGCAAGTTGTGAAGATGTGGCAAGGCAGCGAGCAATGTGTGGTAACTTTTGCATCAATTTGTCACTGAAGTTTGAAGATAAGAAAGTTTGGCTTGCGGCCATTGATGGCACTGTTTAGCAGTAGGGAAACATTTGCTAAAGGTTTAAGGTTGAAGCGAGGAAAGTTCAAATATTTAAAAATTTAAATTCAAATAATATTTAACAAAAAGCATTAAAAGTTACTGGTTCTTATTTATGAGACCTCTTTGGTCCACCTATAATATATTCACATATTGTTGTTTTCTTTGCTAAGTGATTAATGCATCAACGCAAATAGGAATGATGCACGCAGTCAGATGTCTACTAACAAGTCTTCTGTTCCTTGGGTCTATCTAGACTTCTCTTCATCTACTGTACACTAATAGCTTAGTGCTGGCATATAGTCCCAGATTTGTGCTACGACTACTCCACTTACACAGCAGACACTCATAAACTGAAACACTTTCAAGTCTTTTTGGTCTGCACACATCTCACTGGCTGATTAGTCCACCAACTACTTCAGATGTCTTGCAAATACAAAGACAAACATTGAAGTTCTGTGGGATTTATTTACACTAAGTGAAAAAAATAGAGAATTCTGTGGGTAAGTTATAAATTCAGAAAGTTTTTCGATTGTGAAATGATAGACAAACGGCATTAACTAAAAATATTAGATAATATGATTATACTAAGTACTTACAATTTCTATTTACAATATTACTACTAATATTTCCTTGGTAAATAACTATTCTTATATCCCAATTAGTTCTCAAATACTATAATAACCTTTCTGGAAAATTGAAAATATCGGGTGTCTTCAACAAAAGTGATGTAGAAACAAGCAACTGGAAGAAATAATTTTATTCATTTTATCAGAGGTTTTATTCTTCGTACGTTTTTTTTTTTGAGCTTTTATTCATAGAAGTTTATTAGCAGCTATTGAATTAGGAGCTTCATGACCTTCAGAAGGAATTACGGCATTTAATCCATTCAAAATATCATTATTAAATACAGAAATTTTATTGGCTTCAGCAATTTAGTTGGCAATTAAATGTTTTTTATCGAAGCCAGTTGAGACACAATTTTTCTTGTATTTGAATAGCTGGAAATGGTGATATGTAATCAAATATGTTTTATTGATATTCAATTTGGTATTTTGCGGGGATATGCAAAACCGCGTAAAACTTGAAAAAGAACAAAACAAAAAGGTTACTGTTTCCATTCCATATGTTACAATATATATAAAATCTCAAAATAAAAAGCACAACAATTCACAGAAGCTTTGCAATGTAAGTGTGGCTGGTTTTTAGGTTATTCGAAAGCCGTTAATTGTAGCAGCAATATTTCACACAAAAGACGATGCTTATTACTTATATTATAAATTGAATTTGTAACATCGTTTGAAAATATTCTGTGATTACATAAAATGCGAGGTAAATTATTTTATGTATGTGGATGTGTATGTGGATAATTAATCTTAAGTCTTTTCTGTTAATGTTTCTAACTGAAGATAGAAGACTGTTTTTATTGCAAAAATACTTTTTATATGTATTAAACTTTTAAAATAATAAAAAACAAATTTCTAAAATTTTCTTTATTTAGTTTAACATTTTTAATCTATTAAAAAAACAATAGCGGTATAAAACATACGCACAACATGTTGTGCCGATCTTTTAATTATGAGGTAAAAAATATAAAACAAATCTCTAATCATAGTATGTTTCAAAATTTACTGCTTTTGGTCGGAATTTCTCTGTGTGTATTTGGGTGCGAGGGCACGAGCGTATGCCTGTGTGGGCCTATCGCAGCAAACTTGTTAAATGGCGCGAAATTCTTTTCAATTTCAATTTCGAACGATAGGCTTTGACGTTTGCTTCGAACAGACGCGCTAGCAGCAAGGAAGGTGGCGGGGCGGGTAACATGACTAGAACGGCAAATGGCAGTATTCTGCCGGCCTCGTTGCTGTTGCTGTCCAAATATTTGCATTTGAACCCAATTGGTAACGTTTTGTGTTTATTGCCTTTCTGTAGCTGGCAAAATTGAACGATTCTTTTTTCTCCGCTTTTTGGAAAGTGCTTACTTCAGTGTTGTGTGGCTGAAAAACGAAATTTGAAAAATAATTGTGAGCGGCGGCATGTTGACAACTGCTGTGTGTACGCGTGCTGTCCAGCGACCAGTAACAAGGATCAGGTGTGTGTCCTCGTGTATACATTTCCGCCCTCCCTCCTGTACGCTGCTCTGGCAAACGGACCGCAATGCAAATGGCTATATTCCAGCAACTACAAATCGCTTTGAGCCCGCATTTCAAACTAAACCGTGAGTATGGACATGAGCGAGTACTGCTA